CATTAATCAATTAACATGTGAAGAAATATATCTCTGTCAAATGAAAATTCCACGTACAGGATCAAAACTTAATAGGCAAGTAGTGTGAGAACGAATCGTAGTGATATTTTTTGTCCGAACATATTCTGGGTATTTAAACTGTAAAATGAAGATGAAAGATAAAAGGAGACGTACAGTTGCGATGGTGTGATCACCCACTGGGGAAAGCTTCCTGATAAATAATTGTAAGACAAATCTCTGCAAATAACAAAATAGAATCAGAAGACACAAAATGCATGAAAGTTATAAGAACTTGTGTAAGATAAAGGATTAGAATGCTTACAAAACGCACAAACACATACATGCACGTGCACACGCACGTACAAAGTACTAGTTTCAATGTCAGTAGACTCAGTACATTCTATAGGACTACTTTTAAGAAACGAGGACTTACATAGTCTGAAGTCGATTGCTCTTTTGGCTCGGAAGAGGTCCAGATAGACTATTGTTTCCAAGAAACCTGGCCATTTCGATTATGGTAGAAGGCACCCAGAAAAGAAAAAGAGATGAGCAAGAAAAAGGTCAGATGTGCACAAAATCTATAAGGATTAGTCCAGATCTTCAATCAAAGTAGGGAATGTTAAAGATTTGATAACTTATGTATGATGAGGCAAGCAAAATATAATAATGACGGGGATTACAAGGATGTAAGAGAACTCATGGTGAACAAAGAACTTGGGAGTTGGCCTGTCAAATTGTTGAAACTCAGATCCCTGCAACACCAACGATAAGTTGAGAGGAGCAATCAGAATGAAAGAAAACTAATTGGCCTCGTTGGGACTCACGCTTATATGCGCTGGTACGTACAGTATCTGTAGACTTTGATATTCTCCAATATCAGATGGGATGATACCAGTGATTAATGCGTTTCGTAGTTTTCTGTTATTCACATCAAATTTGATAAAAAGTAGATGGAGTAAGATATCAAAATTCAAAAGGAAAAAGTTGGATGAAAGTATATGGATCGACAAGAATCTTCACTTACAACTCAGTCAAGTTCTTCATATTTTTTATGAAATCAAGAGAGGAGCTCCCATCGTATATATCACTGATTTGCCTACATAATTATATGCAAAATAACTGAAATCCCGTCTTCAGAGAAAGAGAAAGAATTACAATTTATGAAACATTTATACTTACAGAGACTTTAATGAGGTCAATTGAGAAAAGCCGGTTGGTATTGGGCCTTCGAAAGAGTTCCCTTGAAATCGCCTACAGAAACATATAAGAAGCTTGTGAACAAATTATCCATCTCAGGTCTGCTTTCATAAACTGCATAAGATCAAAATTTTCTGTGCTTACAAAGAAGTGAGTTGTGTCCAATTCCCTATGAAATCAGGTATCTTTCCTGAGAAAAGACTGTCCGATGCCCAACTAAAATTCAAAAAGTTGACTTATAATAAGCTCATCCAAGAAAAGCAATCTCAAAGTACTAGATAAACAAACAAATCTAAAATACAATTTAAGAGCCGTTCTTACAAGATTTGCGTGCTGGTGAGCTTGGCAAATGTTGAAGGAATTTCACCACTGAGTCCACAGCTGTCCATGTAACTGTGAAAATCTTAAGGCAACTGATTAATACCCATTTTATACGATAAGGTGCAATTTTTGCTTATGCACAAGGAACTAACATGTAATTCAAATTTGATGATTTAACGAACCACTTACATTTGCTGGAGCTTGACTAAATTACCAAGTTCTGGAGGGAGTGTTCCGGAGAAATTATTTGATCCGATGGCCCTACAAGTCATGTTGAACAGGCAAACAATTACTTGAAAGCAATTATTGAAGAGTGATAGAAGGTTCTGCATCTAATGTTTATGACACAAAATTTTACTGAACGCTTTCTCATTTTTCATGGCTTACAGCATATTTAGTTCCGTAAGATTTCCAAGCTCCTTGGGGATGGGCCCAGAGAATGAATTGTGGCCAATTGACCTGAATGGAGATATCAGTTCACTAAAGATAAGCACCATTACATTACAAGAAACTAGTACTGCATTATTCAATAAAATCATAATGGTTTTGTGTAGATTACGGTGTAAATAATAGAGAAAAGGTATAAAGAACATAACTGTAGATTATGATATTCAAAATGAAGTATACAAATTGCGACGAGTCTCATCAGAAGTATGAGTACTTAAACAAATTTTCTGTCACTACTTACAATATAATCAATGCAGACATATTGCCAATGAATGCCGGTAGGGGACCTTTGAAATAATTCATATCAATTTTCCTACAGAAATTGAAACAAAATGTAATCCTTAATCTTACGACATCACTATATTTTTGATTTCCAATTGATAATTTTGATGAACCAAAAACAGAGAAGGGAGTTGGAAAAAATTCATACAAAACTGCGAGATATCTTAGATCCAAGAATTCTTCTGGAAACACCCCTCGTTTGTACAGAGCATGCACTCTCCTGGAAAGCAAAAAGATTGAACATTTAGAACTTTATAAAATGGAGTGGCACAGTCAAATTATTGACTAATATATATATAGGTATAGCTAGCGAAAAATCAGCATTGGCATAGAAATCTTGTTCATAAAGAGAGAGTAGTTTAACATACAGTTTGGTGATGTGGCATGTAGTACCGTTGTCGTAAGTACAGTCGCAAGCGATGGCTGGGTTGTTATCGGGGATCTCAAATTCGGTGCCGTTGATGGCGGATCCACTGCAGGGTTCTCCACTGATATTCCACAGCCCCGGCACTGCTTGTGTGTCCCATTGTTCAAATATTGAGTTCAACGCCCTCACTGCATTCTCAGTTAATTCAGTCCTTGTGTGTATTAGATTATATCACACCATAATTTGACTTGTGTTACCACTTACCAGACCATCTTGAATCAAATGAGAGATCAAATTGATTATTACAAAGGAAAGTTACCCTTAATTTTTGGATGTTTTGTATATGGGAAGAAAAAGGGCTTTACAATAATTTCTTCGAAACTTCATTTCATATTGTCGAAGAACACTTAAAATGTCATTTTGTTGAGGGAAAGAAGCCCAGTTCCTGGTCAAAAACACTTATATGGGGCAAAGTGTGTATGAGTATGGGGGGGGAGAGAGAGAGAGAGAGAGAGAGAGAGAGAGAGAGAGAGAGAGAGAACCTTCAGATGGATCAGTGGTAGCATTTTGAGCAAAGGACAGCTGAAACCAGAAACAGTTGAGGAAGCAGAGTAATAGTATCCTCATCATCAATTTCATCTTCATATTGTACATGTGCAGAACTTGCTCTCCTCGACGGAGTGAATTAAACGGCCGACACTTCTATACAAAAGATGCGCTCCAAATCCTTGGGCTGTTGAACAGAATTCAACGACACTGGAATGGATGGTACAAAGTCCTCCAGCCTTTGTACTTTTGGAGAACTTCCAGCTATCAAGGAAACCGTGAAGTAAAAGAAGAAAAGGTAGACGACTCCTACTAAGAACCTAACAGAACAAGCAATGCCCCATGCCTTTCTTGGTTGGACCAGCCCAACCAGTGACTTCCGTCTTCGTGAATTGGGAGAGCAGAACAAGTCTCTCTTCTTTTTCTTCTTATTACGGGCGACCCGTTTTCTCTCCCACTGACTGAATCATGCATGTAAAAACAAGACCACTAGATGTTAGTCATATATCGACAATTTATATGTGCACATATTGCTGTCCAAGGTTCTAAGGCTTTGATCATATTACTTGAATTGTATATTATAATATTACAGATTGACCTGCATGACTTAGTCTTGAAATGTTTACCTACGGTTCTTGTTGAAAATATCAACGGATTGACTAGTGGATTAACATTTTTGCTCAGCAGATGGTCAAATCTTGTAATTATGGAGATGGATTAACGTTTTTTTTTTTTGTTAGTTAGTGATTTTGATACGGCATATAACGAGAATATCATTGTGAGAATATTTAAACAAATTACATTATTATGTGTGGCAAAATACATGACATACTATGCGATTTAACTTAAAACATTGGAACATTTGCATCTATGTCGTAAGTTTGTCCGGTCAAAGAATACCATATCATTGATAATTTTGTGTATAAAATATATCGTGGCAATACAATAAAGTTTAGAAAAGTAGACGAGGACATTTTCAAAGGAAAAATAAGGTGAGACTTTTTCAATATTTGTGGCTGCACTGAAAATTCGATCGGGATGAAAAATTTGTCTGAGTTCAATGATGTACGAGAAAGTTAAAAGAAGAAATGCTAAGGAGATTTTCAAAGGTGAGACTTTTTATACTCTTTGCCGTCTTAAGATGCAATATTTTTTTTCTTCTTTTGCAGCCTTATGGACTCTTTGCTGCCTTAAGGTGCAATATTTTATAATACTGACACAAGAATTGACGTTAAACCATAAGGTATGAAGTGGTAGAGAGGTCCATAAAACCTATTTGAGAGGGTCTCCCAAGCATTATCCTTTCTTATACTTACCAAATCCAAGTTTTTTCTTCTTCTCTTGAAGTCCACAAACAATGCAATTTTATAGTTTTTAACTAGAAAATGTATGCGCTTTGCTGCAGGCATTTAATGTATTAGTCGTAACAGGCATGAATAGTTTCCACACAAAGGAACTAAAAAGATGTGGTACCTGAGAACCAATGAAGTCAAACTTTGCTTGCTATATATGGATATGCATGCTATAAGAAACATTCATTTGTAGATCGTATTGTGTCATCAATATCATAATTCCAAGTAATCAGCCTACTACATGGAAGAAAAACACAAAAAAGGAAAAGTAAAAAAGTAGAAGACATAATACTTGAGCACTTGGCAGAAATAATAAGTTTCTTAAAAAATTGCTACACCATCTTACAAATTCAATCGTTAAACGTCATACTACAACCCAAGACAAAGATTAAGTATACAGTTTGTTTACAAATCAAAACGAAGTGCTGCTATAATCCGCAACAGCTATGAATCATTTTCACATAATGATACTCAAATTGAACGGCACATCGAATAACCAGCAACCAAAACAAAATATGCCATGTGCTAACACGAAACTAAAACAAAAGGAGGATTAAAAAACGAAAATTTTCCATAAGGCATCAATTGACAAAATGCTTCTTAATGTGGTTTTCCGAGAACTGAATGCAACTCCAAAACAACTTTGAAAACACCTTAGAAATCTTTATTACCCCAATCTTACTAAACGGAAGCATAAATGGACAGGATAGCTCCCTAATTTTGTAATAGAAACTCTAACAAAGAATATCAAGCTCCAAAGGCCTTGACTTTTCCTTGGCATAAATCTGTACATTGCAAGTTTAATTCCAACGAAACAAATACGCGTGTGAATGTGAAGTAAAAGGCATCAACGCTATATGTACTGCTTTACAATTATCTCAAGTTGCTGACGTAATGCCTAAAATATTCAAGACTCAAAGATTTTCATATATATAGAACACCTCACCTAAACAATAACTGAGGTTGCGGTATTTGAATCAAGCTAGCAGGCAGATGCTTTGCTAGGCCTTCTTCAATATCATCTCATATTCATTTTTCCTTTATGATACAATAAATTGTTCAAATTTAGATGTAAATAAGAGAATTCGCCACACTCTACTATCACAGTAGTTAGTCTTGAACAATAATGCAAGCCTGGTTGCAAAAACCACCTCAACGAGCCATACAAATAAAATGTCAAACCCCTAATAAAAAAAATTAACCGAGATGCGAGCTTTCTATGAAACTCGGATGACAAATTAAAAAAAATAGAGTTGAAAAGATAACTTACACTTTTAAGGCCTATTGCAAGTCTGGCACTTCGCCTTTGCTCATCGTCATTTTCTTATCCAAACCTAAATTTTCAAAAAACCAAACTGTCCGCAAAATTCAAATTCAACCTCAGCTAAACACACACACACACACACACAAACACACAAACACACACACACACACACCAAATTTAGATTTGGAGAAACCCTGAATTCCCCAAAAGGCCACCACATTCTGAGATCGACTACCAAAATTTAAAAACACACTCCACATGCAATCACAGAAATCAATTCAACTGGTTCAAAAGAACCACTTCTCGCAACTACTTCGAAAATCAGCAAAAAGAAAACAAATTTAGAGCTATGTCTCAAAAAATTAACTCCCAAAATTATTCCCTGTTCTTAGAATAAACAACCAGAAACCAATTACTGAAAAATCCATATTGACAATTTTTTTGTGATACGCTAGTGTTTGAAAAGTGTAGTCTATCCCTAATATTCAAGTGGTATAAAGATAATGTACACTGAAGGTGAATGCCAGTTCCTCCTAGAACACCAAGCTACTCGATAGCAACGAAAGAACTAATGTGGCGTAAATTCAAACCAATAAGAAGGGCAGCTCAAACCAATAAGACTTTATGCATTATAAGAGCTGACAAAGAACGTTTAACGTATGCAATATTACCTTAATTTTACAAAGAAGTTTCCACAACTTAGACTCGTGACCATTTTGGATCACAAATTATCAACATTTCCACTACGCCAAAACTCGACCTCAATTGTATCTTTAATCTATAAACAAAATATGGAACACTGGTTATTGAGGCTAATTCTTTAAGGATTCTTATTAAAAGGAGCATACGGGCAATTCTCTAATTTACTCTTCTTGAAGGTACTCCTCGGATTTTGGCCAAAGATTCTTACAGAGTTAGTGTGAAGGACTAACGCTTCACATTTGTCGAACTCATACGGTACTTTTAATAGATCTTTCATTTGTAGACTAAAACTACAATTTAGTAATAATTCACAAACCAGTACTATGATTTTCTCCTTTTCAATGTTAGGGGAAAAATATTGTTCATATCAAAGACTCATACTCATCCTCGCAATCGCATCAATAAGTAAAAGGTAATGCTATTTTCTATTTATTTTATTTTATTCATTCTATCTGACGATCAGAAATTAAAAAAAATATATATATATAAAATATATAAAAAATAAAAATAAATATTTAGATAGCATCAATATAAATTTATCTCTCTTTAACATAAAATAAAACTTATAATTTATATTAACCAGTTATACAAATTGGGTAGGAAAGGGAAGGAATACACATATTCTGCCAAGTTACATTGGTGTAAAGACACGTAGCTTGCACCGCATGCAGTGCGATCAAGTTGCGGCCCAAGTTGATGAGTTTTCCATAAAGTTAAATAAGCTTGATCATGGATAATATATTAAATGCATAAATAATTATTAAATATTGCCAAACCACAGCAGTGTTTTAAATTTTTTAAACTAAGCAAACAGACGGGGAAGTGGAAAAATTTAGTTCCCATTTCTATTTTTTCTACTTCATTAAATTTTTTTTTTATTTTTGATTAAAATCTAAGTTATTAATTATTTTAATAATAAAATATTTTTTTATTTCTAAATATATTCAATGAGTGTTAAAAACATTACATTTGGTATATTTATAATTATAGCTAAATTTTTTATTATATATTTTTATTTTTAATTTGTACCCATTTTTAATTTGCAACCTTTCTTTTAATTTATACAAATTTTCTTTTCAATTTTAATTTGTAACCATATATTAATTCTTTTTTGTGCCCATAATTTTTAAACTTTTATTTGCATTTGTATCCATAATTTTTTGTTTTGCTACATGTACCCATGCTAATTATATGTATTTATTTTATCTTTTAAAATAGATCAATAATTATTTTTCAAAATAAGTTAATAATTATGTGGGTACATTATTTTTTGCTATAATTTTTGTGAAAAACAATATTACTCTAAAATTGATTTTTAAGTATTTATTATATTTTTAAAATATTATTTAAATTTGTTTAAATTTCATAATTTGTGAAACATTAAATGTATAAATGCATGAGTTAAATATCTTAAATAATGCTAAGAATCTCGATCAAATTATTTAAACAAATAAAATTTTAGTCTATCAATTAGATTGATTTGGGATGAAAACCAAAATGACCATAGGGAAATATACTGCTTTTGATTGCATCTGTTGGTTACAGTTGAGGATGAACTTTAACATTTCGAAAGAGAAAGATAGCTGGTTAGCGGTTGATCTCCTGTATTTTATATGTGCGTATCATATGAAGAGAGAGAAAGAGAGAGAGAGATACCCGACCTGCTGTTGAAGCAGAAGATGGAGGAGCTGAAGCAGAAGCAAGCAGCAAACTGGTAGGAAGATATCAGAGATGGCGGCTTCTTCGCCCACTAGCTCTGGAATTCATCCCCTCTCTCCTCTCTCTCCTCTCTCTTTAACCTACTATGAGTGTATGAGAATGAAAATGACAATTCCCACTTGCATAAACCAAAATATATATGGCCTCATGGGAGCAGTATATATAAGTATATATAGTGGCATGATTAGTCTCAGCCAACGTCAGTCTCTGTATTCTTCAAACCAGCTTTGTTTATTCAACAACTATAGAATAATTAAAATGTAGAACCACGAAAAGTAATATGATATTTATGCATTTTATTATTGGTTTGATCTCATGCTTTCTTTTTTTTCTTTCTAAAACTTAATTCAATAATGCTATTTTTTATTAAAAAAGAAAAAAAATGAAGTAATTAATTTTTTTTTCTTCATATTTTTAACTAGATGTAAAAGCTGTTAAACCTTAGAACCTAAACAAGTTCCTGCCCTTTAATCCAATTTCCCCTTCACTTTGTTGAGATTCTGCTAATTTCATTTAGCCTTTCATGTTTCTCTTTAAAAAAAAATCGTAACTTTGCCCCTTTAACTCAATTTTGACTTCACTTGGTCGAGATTCTACTAATTCGTGAAAAATGAATGGAATACGTGACATGTTATACATTTTGTTTATATGCATCCATTAAAGCTAAACATCCTATGATTCTTTAACTTTAATCAAGTTGGAGCAATGATTCATTAACTAAAATCTATTATCATTTGTCATGCAACTCATCAAAACGTGTAGCTATAATCATTTTCGTTAACTTTGTCAGAATTTTGTCAAAATGAGTTATGTTGAAAGGACCATTGCTACAATTGGGATCCCTCAACTCATCAAAACTTCTAGCTATGATCTTTTTCATCAACTTCGTCAGAATTTTGTCAAAATGAGTTATGTTGGAATTACCATTTCTACAATTGAGTTAAAGTTGAGGGATCATTGCTTCAATTGGGTTAAAGTTGAGAGATCATTTTTCCAGTTAGATTAAAGTTGAGGACAAAGGGTAATAAATTTTTAGTTGAGGGAACACAGTTGCATGTTTTGCTGAGCTAGAGGCTTAATGATAATGAATTTTTAATTTATAGATTATTGCTTCAATTGAATTAAAGTTAAGAAATCATTATTACAACTAGACACATAAAAAAATTTAAAATTATAAAATAACATATATAATGTTTCGCTTCGTATTCTGAGGACACTGAAATCTCTATAGCGAAAAGAGTGAGTTGCTAGCTATTGAAATTATAAAAGGTATTGGTAATTGTGTTTAACTAAAAGATAAAAAAAAAAAAAAAATTTATTGTCAATTGAATGAGTTGGGATGCCAAACTTCAAATTTGACCTCTGTTTGCTTTTTCATTTGTTGGTCAAAACACCCCTCTTCCACATCTCACGTCCATCTTCTGTCTCACTCGCATTTCTGCAGACGAACTGACTCAGAGAAAGGACGCAGCTGACAGCCCTCAAGGTTCAGATCTCTCTGTTATAGCTTTCTCTAATTAATTAATTCAATTAAGAGCTCTGTTTCTGTGTCTTTTTTTTTAAAATTTTTTTATCAGATTATCCTTGATTTATGCGTCTGTTTCTGAATTTGTGAATAACATGGGAATTTGTATAAACTGCTCCTGAATTTGGGAAGAATATGGTTGTTTTGATTCTCGGAAAATATTTATGAAATTTTGGTTTATGTTACCGTCTCTGGGTTGATCTGTTTGTATGCAAGTTCTCATTTTTTCCCCTCCATGGATGTAATTTAAGGGTGTACTTCTTGATTCCCAGGAAACTTTGGAAGGAAAATGATAGAAAATGCAATGCAAAATATAATTCAAATCTTTCTATTTGTGAATTTCTGTGTGTTTGGTTAGAACCTAAGGCCTTGTTTGGTCTCTAGGATCGGATTGGAATGGATGAAATGAAAATGAATCGTATAATTTTTCATATGATTAAATTGATTTCTCAATTTGGTATGATTGAGATCTTCTCATGCTCTAGTAATATCATAAAGGGTGACTCCAAGCCAACAAGGCTGTAAGGAGCGATCTTTCTGTTGCGCTAAGGATTGCCTTCGTTTTGGTAAAATCGTAGAATATGGATATATAACTTGTTCCCTTATGATCTTTTTCTGTTTTTTTTTCCCAGAGTTGCATAATTTTGATCAAGAACTATTATTTTTGTTGGGATTGAGACTGAAAAAAAATCCTTTTGCAGATTAAAATTCCGAAAGAAGAAACGCTCGTAGGCATCAAATCAGCAACAGAAGTTCGAATTGAAGGCAGTAGTTGAAATGAAGAAAGAAGGAGCCGAGGAAACAAGTATGGAGATAGTGAAGAAGTTTTTGGAGAAAAAGGTGAAATGGCAATCGCCATGGATGGTCTGCCCGACAAGTTCTTTGAGCCCTTCATCCTGAAAGGCGTCAATATCGATCTCCTTGAACCCGGACACATTGTTTGCTCCTTCACAGTACCCCCGCGTTTGGTGAACGGGGGCAATTTCTTGCACGGTGGAGCCACGGCAACCGTTGTGGATTTGATAGGATCAGCTGCAATCCTCTCCTCTGGAGCTCTCAGTTCCGGAGTTTTGGTGGAGATCAATGTGTCGTACTTGGATTCGGCTTATCCTGGCGAGGAAGTTGAGATCGAGTCCAGGACGTTACGTGTCGGGAAGACTGTTGGTGTTGCTAGTGTTGAGATCAGGAAGAAGAAGACTGGGAAGATTGTTGCTCAGGGCCGTCATACAAAGTACCTTGCTGTTTCTAGCAAACTCTGAACAGCTAGGAATTTGAACCAAGACATGCTATTCGGTCAGTGTTATGTCAAGATTTTTCGACATCGAATAATTTTTTCTGGAGTGAATGTAATACAAGCAACGCTCAGTTAATTTCACTCTGACTGATACAAATAGCTAAGAACAATACAATATTTAGCAAAGAGTTGGCGAAAACCAGAACAGTTAACTGCTTAAGCTTTTAGATCATAACATGATCCAATCCTCAAATTTGTATTCCTCAGACAGATACAATTGTTAAGAACCAGTAAATGCTTCTCAAAAAATTCTCAAAAAACAGGACAGATAATCAGTTAACCCTTCGATCACAACATGAATTCACTGAATCACGAAAAGTTAACCAAAATCAAGAAAACAACATTGACCATTTGAGTCACAATTCGTCAAAATCATATCCATCGTCGTTATTATATCCCTCATCGTAATTGTATTCTTCATCATAATTGTATCCATTATATTCGTCATTTGCAACATGTGTATCATCGTCGTAGCCTTCTCCGGCTTCAGCCTCTTCACTGTACATATTTTCATGTTCGAGCTCCTCATCATGACTAACTTCAAAATGAATCTTTTTCTGATTTGACAGCTGCTTACCACTGCCGCAATTAGACTCCTTGCGTTCTTCAAATCCAGGTCCCTGAAAAACAGACGGAGAAAAAGGTCAGATTAAGCAAATTCAGGATACATTGACAAGTTCTTGCCGTTGCTCGTAAAAACAGACATTCTAAAACCTCTTAGGATTCCTAACAAGGAATTACAATTGCAAAATTATTATATATGGCCAAAAAACTATCAACCATATAACGAGATATAACATTTCCTATTTCCTCAAGTCTTCCATTAGCTGCTCGATTAGCAAACAACCTGTATAAAGATCATGGTTTCACATATTTAGGTTTTATCCTGCCATAGCTTGTACAACTTCGATAGACCTTTATTCCACTATACAAAAATTGGTGTCTGCCGACTGACCAGACATAAACAAGTAACATGTGACGACTATCAAAGTTTGACATACTATTAGTCTACCAGGTTTGTTTGGCTTTTTTAGTCTTTTGCAATCTGCATTAGGTTCACAGGCAACGAGACATATAATGTTTGACAACATAATATACGAATTGCAGAGCTATGAGTAAAGCAAGAATGATTCTAAAATAAGCCAGTAAAAAGATACTTAGAAGCTTTTCATTTAATTTCTTCAAAGCATCAAAGTCGATTTTCGAACTCAGCCTCTGCGAAAAAAGAATGCCATGTAAATAATTGTTGGGTAAGATATAAGTTGCATCATGCTGGAGGAATAATACTTAAACGAAGCATATCCATCAGCTAATTCCCTTACCTCCTTGTTATTTATCACAGTAGAAACTTTGGCGGTTTTTTCTGCAGGTGCAGCTTTCTTGGCTTTTCTGGCTCGTTTTCTACTCTTTCCCTGCCAAATTTATCCATTGTATGTAGAAAATTAGAAATCAATAAGTAAGGCTCAATGCTGGCAGTAACACAAAGACAGATAAACAAAAGGGAAAAACTAAAAAATAAATCAAATGCAGATAAGATTAAAAAAATACTAATTTGTAAGCAGGTGTGACTCCAATAACAGTTGAGAATTTAGGCACAAACGACGAAGAATGGTGAATAAGCTGAATGAATCTTCCAAGCATACATTTTAGAGAACAATGCACACATGACAGTCTAGAAAAATGCAAAGATAAACTCAAATGAAGTCAATATTGGGATAAACCACATAGCTAAGCTAGCCATATCCAGTGATATAATGAATAAATTCAAGATTTTGGTTAGAAGGTCCTTCTTTGAAAGGAATGATTTTACTGCAACGAAATGCATAAAAAGTGCAAGCAAGACACCAGTTCCAAGACATGTGCTCTATCATAACTGAAATTGCCTATTTAGTGGGGCTTAAGGATTCAGAATTTGTTGTTTTATGTGCTTAGGATCTTAAAAGAAGTATTGTTCGTAGATTAGCCATAGTTTCAAAGATTAGGACTAAAAACAAGTTAATTGTCTGGAAGACAAACTGTTTGTTGCAAATTTTAGTTAGGAGCATGCTTTTTGAATTTGGGGGTTAAAAGTTAGAGAAACCAGAAAGCAAAGAGAGGTCAAAGATTAGGGTTTTTGAATCAAGTACGAAAAGAGAGAGTACAGAAGTACTACAAAGAAAGAATTGAGTTAAGAACTTCCAAAAAATCACAGAGCTAAAGAGTAAAGGAAGAATGCAGAGGCAAAGAGTGGAAGGAAGAAAACCAGAAACCCATACAAGGAAAATGTATACTAGTACGGTCATGATCAAATGCAAAATCCCCTCA